CTTTGAAGTCACTGAAAAGAGGCCCAGATTAGAACTCTGATGTCAAACCCAGATGCCACAGCTACCTTTCGTAGTGAAATATTTACAAAAATTAGACAAAAACCAGATCCTTACCCCTGCTCACTAGAATCATATTGTGACTCAAAGGAAAAAAATCAGTAATATCAACCCCATTTGTCCTTAACATTCTGATAATTGCCGTTGATTGATTGATTGTGGCTGTTGTTGTTTTAGACCATTGTGTTTAAAATGTTATTTGTTCTGCTTCCTGAAAATTTTGGTGTCTCGCTTGTCTTAGCAGCCCCGGGTAAGCACCAATAAAACAAAAGCATGGTATTTAGGTTAGGATAGAGGGTGTGGTGGGGCTAGAGAGATGGCCTAGCAGCCAGGACTGCAGTCACCCCCAGTTCTGAGGGAAGCAGAAAAAGGAAAAGCCAGGACTTGCTGGCTTTCATCCACCTGAGAAAATAGAGGCTTCAAGTTGAGGGAAAGATCCCGCCTCCAAAGAACAGGCAGCGAGTGACAGAGGGGGACACCTGACATCTTCCTTTGGCTTCTGTGTATGTGCATAGACATACACGCCTACATATACACATGTGAGCATACAGTGACAAAAGTCGACTCACCAAAAAAATGGATAAATCTTTGAAATTAGAAATAAATCCCTATAGTTGCTACTTTTCTGTTCTTGTGATAAAATACCATGGCCAGAAGTAACTCATAAATCACAAAGAGTTTATTTGGCACTTAAGTTTGGAAGTGTGTGCAATGGCAGGGAGGCATGACCAGAAGAATGAGGTGGCAAGAGCAGAAAGCTGAGCCGTCACACCGTGAGTGTGATGACACCAAATCCCGAACAGATAGCAGAGTGGATGTGGCACGGAGACTTTAAACTCAAAGCCCACCCCCAGGGGTGGACTTTCCTCAGCTGGGTTACACCACTAAACCTCCCCAAAAAGTGCCACAAACTAGGCACTAAATGTTCACACATGTGAGCCCATGGAAGACGTTTCTCATTCAAATAACCACAGGGAAGGATGGATGCACCTAGTACCATTTTTAGTTCATCCCACAGGAAAGAACATGGAGATGGTCAGCAAGTTAACCACATGATGGGAAGGAGAAGCAAGGCCGTGAGGACGTGCAGGTGGTGTCATTTGCCTAGGGACACGACAGTGTCAACGAAAAGCAATCAGGAATAAGTAGGTTAATAAGATGTAATTTTCCTTGGCCAGTGCATGTTTTTTAACCTACATACCAGTAGCAACCAGGTAAATAAGGGGGGAGAAACTTCATTGTGACATGAAAACAGTGTAAGAATAAACTTAAGAAAGGATGTTATAAGCTTGAAGAAAACTGCAAAGTCATTGAGATCCATTTAGGACTTAGGTAAATATAGAGCTATTTGAAGTGAAATTGGTTAAAAAGATCCAGTATTGTAAGTTTGAAAATTTCTCTACAATAATTGATAATTGGAGGGTATGCCAACCACAGTAATGGTAGAATACTGGAGGACATTTGGACTCAATAACTCTTAAGTTCATCTGGGAGAATAGATGTGAAAATAGCTGGGGAGATAAAAAAATGAAAGTAATGGAGAAAATCGCCTTATCTGGCGTCACAGTCTCACAGCCACAGTAATTAAAGTGGCATGGAGCTGGTGCTGGGGAGGACAAAGGGCATAGAAAGTCTGGAAAGCTAGGGTTACTCAAATGTAGTGCACACAGCCTGTCTTAGAACTCACGACTCTCAAGTTTATAATGCTGTGCCAGTGTAGCCATGCAACCCGCCTGTTTTGCGCTGCCAGCATAATATTTAAAATCCACTTGAGTTATTCAGTTGTTAGTGGGAGATTCACTTTGTGCTACAGGATTTCCCCCAACTGTAGGTGAATGCAAGTATTGGATCATGAGCATGTTTGGGATCAGGGAGGCTACGTGCAAATGCTCTCTAGATTAGAGTGACTGAATTCATTTTCTTATAGAATTTTCTTTATTTTTTGTTAGAAACTTTTATCTCTTATTCATATATTATAAAAGCAAAACATTCACAATGGAAACTACGTACTAGAAGGTTACCTCAGCATTCAACCACTTTTCCAGTGTATCTTATAATCAAAATCAAGGTTTATGCTTTTGGCGCAAAACGTGTTCCATACCTCAAAGTGAATATGCCTGATGGCACACACCTTTTATCCCAGCACTCAGGAGGCAGAGACAGGTGAGCTCCACGAGTTCAAGGTCAGCCTGGTCTACAGAGCTATTTCCAGAATAGCCAAGGCTACACAAAGGAAACCCTATCTGGAAAACAAACAACAAACAAACAAAAAAAGACTAATGAAAAGGTCATTAGCAGGAATTTAAGAGTTTCTAACAATTTATTTGTTTGATAAATATTTTAGCAGAACTTATAGAGATTTCTCTCCCTTTTCTTTCTTTTTTTCACTTTTTTTTAAGCACAAGTCCCTTTGTCAACCAGTTCTGCAGATGAGTAACAAACAATTCTAAAATGAATAGCACTGGAAATACCCAATGAGATTTTTCCAATAAACGTCTAGACTTCCCTTGAGTTTCACGAAGCTGTAGCTATAAACTATACTTGTAGAATCCAAACTAAACCAGTGGAGATAAATTCCCAACTTAAAAAATCCAACCTTTAGATGTGTGCAGTATTTTCAAAGTGCAACAAGGGCATTGGGATGCATTCATTCAGTGTGGGGATTGCGATGTATTTTGGGTACCACTGCAGGTAAGAGGGCTGTGAAGGGCACTCTGGGAGATAGGATGTGGACAACTCTGGTTCGTGAGCCCTGTGGGGAGGCACAGTTTTTAGAGTGAGGCTGTTGAGGACTTGTGCTCAGACCTGGTCAGGGGCTGAAACTATTCTGCTAGGTTGTCCTCAGTCTCCCCATGTCTGACACGTTGCCTTCACCACCTAAATACCCATTCAGCCCCTGTGCTCCCACCCTCCACTGGTCTAGCCTAATGTCCCACTTCTTTTCTGTGTTTTTATTTAGCTATGATAAAATAGGGATAGAATAAACTTACTGCCCTAACCACTTTTTATTTTAATGGAAGTTCTTGTTTCTTACTAGATGACTGGAATATACTTAAAAAAAAATAAGTAGGTATGGGCTGGCCAGATGGCTCATTGAGGAAAGGTGATTGCAACCAAGGCTAATGGCATTGAGTTTCATCCTCTGAACCCACTTGATAGAACCAGTTTCTACACGTTGTCTTCTGACCTCTACAGGCAGGCTGGTAGATGTGCACATACGTGTTTGTACACACAAACACTCATATACACACAGAAAATAAAGTAATTGTGATGCAAAGAGAAGATATTGTGTTATAAATGTCACCATTGCATTATCTAGACTCTTGGTCACCCCTTTGTGGATCTAGAACCCACCCCTTCTTCTTGAGGCCTGTGATAGCCCTTATCAGCTGCCTTTACTCCTGTCTCCGCAAAGCAGCTGGTCCATGCTAGGCCCATAGAGGGGATCCCAGCAGAGGAATCCTGTATGTGCCCACTAGCAATGCCAGTGACCCTGATTGGTTAAGAAATAAAACACTGACTGAGGCAGTGCTGGCAATGCTGTCCCAGCGCAGGCACACAGGATCCTTTCAGGGTTCCCGTGGTCCCATGCTGCAGCTACATCTTGTTCCTCTTTTCCCTTTGGTTGGGGAGCTCTCTCCTTCCTGCTGAGCCCCCAAGCCTGGGAGGTGTCACACATGCATTGAGTTATCTGTTGCTCAACCAAGACAGGTCCACTAATTCGTCACTATGTGAAGACAGTTATGGAATGGGAGGACGGAAAGGACAGGGCAGACAGAGGAGGGGGACTGAGATGGACTTCGGGGAACTTCAGATTTAATTATTGTGTTTTCAGTGTGTTATAAAAGTAATGTATTTTTATAGTTAAAGATGCTTAAGCATAAAATATAGAATCTAAGTTTTCCTTCTGTGTGGAGTCCTACTCAGCCTTCTCAAACATTCTGTCGCAATTCTGGTTTTTATTGCTGTGATAAAATGCCATGACCATAAGCATCTTGGGGAGGAAAAAGTTTATTCTATCTTAGAATCCTCAGGTTGCCCAGGAAAGTCAAGAGAGGGATTCAAACAGGTCAGGAACCTGAAGGCAGGAGCTAATGCAGAGGCCATGGAGGATGCTGCTCCCATAGCTTGCCCAGCTTGCTCTCTTACACCATCCAGGCTCACCTGTCCAAGAGTGCCACCAAACACACTGAGCTGGGCTTGCTCACATCAACCATCAGTCAAGAAAATTCTCTCTAGACACCTATAAGCCAGTGGGGCATTTTCTCAACCAAGGTTCCCTCTTCCAAAATGACTCTAGTTGTGTCAAGTAGATTAACCAGCACAATACTTTATTTGTACACTTAATTTTATTGACATATAGTGATGGTGTAAATATGGGGTACACTGTGATACTTCAATATGTGTGTATCTTGAGTGCTGAAACACAGGTGTAGACAAGTCTATTTAATGTTGTTCCTCATTGTCATGGGTCTTCATGGTGTCTTCAGTAGGTGCTGATCTTTTTCTCTTTCAAGAGCAGATGCCCCAATCTTATGACCCTTTGACTTGGTCACCTGGGTTGCCCTGTATAGAGGTTAAGAATGAGCCTACATGCCATAGTGTTCTCAGGGGCAGACCACCTACCTTGGTTCCATCTCTAGCACCAGACTGATACAAACCAGTGAGTCTATGAGTTCTAAGGTGGACTTGGGCATCCTGGTGATTATCCTCTCCTCCATGCCTTCTTTTGAGCTCTACCTGTCCTTTATCCCTCCAGCCTAGTCATAGGCATTCAGATAGGACTGTCACACCCTTTGAACATCTATGCATTCACAGTGCCCTGAGCAAATGTGCTGTCAAGATACAGTGATGTGGGTTTTGTCACATAACAAGAGGCATGTATCGTGGGTTGGCCATGATCTATGTGACTCTGATAGCTCTCACTACCTTCCTCTCCACAGTGGCTGCTTCCAGGTAATAATGGCTGTGTGAGTGTCCACTATGGCCCACCGCAAGCGCCAGAGCACTTCGAGCAGCATGTTGGATCACAGGACCAGGCCAGGCCCTATCCCCCATGACCAGGAGCCTGATAACGAGGACACAGAGCTGCCTTTAGAGAGCTATGTACCCACGGGCCTGGAGCTGGAAACTCTGCGGCCAGAGAGCCCCACGCCTGAGGAACAAGAGTGCCACAACCATAGCCCTGATGGGGACTCCAGCTCTGACTATGTGAACAACACATCTGAGGAGGAGGACTATGATGAGGGCCTCCCAGAGGAGGAGGAAGGCGTCACCTACTACATCCGGTATTGTCCTGAGGATGACAGCTACCTGGAGGGCATGGACTGCAATGGGGAGGAGTACATAGCCCATGGTGCGCATCCCGTGGACACTGATGAGTGTCAGGAAGCGGTGGAGGAGTGGACAGACTCAGTGGGCCCTCATACTCACAGCCATGGGGCTGAAAACAGTCAGGAATACCCAGACAGCCACCTGCCTATTCCAGAGGATGATCCTTCTGCCCTAGAGGTCCACGACCAGGAAGACGATGGCCACTACTGTCCCAGCAAAGAAAACTACCAGGACTATTACCCCACAGAGGCCAACGGGAACACAAGTGGCACCTCCCCTTATCGCATGAGGCGTGGGGGTGGGGACCTGGAGGATCAAGAGGAAGATATCGACCAGATAGTGGCTGAGATCAAGATGAGCCTGAGCATGACTAGTATCACCAGTGCCAGCGAGGCTAGCCCTGAACATATGCCTGAGCTGGATCCTGGGGACTCCACAGAGGCCTGTCCACCCAGCGAGACTGGCCATGGCCCCAGTAGGCATGAGGCAAGGCCCAAGTCACTGAACCTTCCCCCTGAGGCTAAACACCCTGGAGACCCCCAGAGAGGACTCAAGACAAAGACCAGGACCCCAGAGGAGAGGCCAAAGTGGCCACAAGAGCAGGTAGGCCTTACCTATCACCAGAAAGGGGGTAGAGGGTCCTAGAGAGTGAAATATCACCCAGTAGATAGTGAAGCCTAAGAGAGGTGATGACAAGTGGAGGGGAGGTTAGGTGCCCTGCAGTTCACAATGTGAGCTAAGTTAATTTGTTCAGTAACTGTGATGGTTTGGGGATGCTCTGGTCACTTATAAGTCCATTCCTTAAATCCAGGAATCCAGAGCTGATTGGCAGCTCTGATCTCCTAGGAAATGTCCTGCCCTCAGAGGCTTCAGTCTATATTCCACTGCCTGAATCTGTTCCTGGCGGGCAGAGTATCCATGCTACCTTCTGATTCACCGAGGCCAGCAGGGCACTGGTCAGAATGGCGGCAAGGGGGATGTAGGCTTTCATGCATTTCCCCACCTAGGGAGATAAGTGCATTTCACAGTGCCCATTGCAATGTCTCCAAAGCTCTCTTGACCTGATAGGTACTTAGTTGTGAAAATTTACTGTCCTGAAAGTCATTATTTGAAATCTGATAAAGTCATAGAGAATTATTTTTTAACACAAGGGGTCAAAGCACAACCATGATTTATTTAAGATGCATCAAAGCAAATATGTAATCAAGCAAACGCATTTGAAAAACCACCATCCCAAGCCTCCAAATAGGAAAAAAGAAATCACTGTGAGTAGATGTAATTGCTGCATTTGTATAAAAAAATTTCTCTTTGGCCTTTTATATTCACTGCTTCCCTGGTTTATAAAGCCTTATTTCCCCCCCAGAATATTCTGTGAGTTTGAATTTAGTCAATATATATTGAATTGAACACACACACACACACACACACACACACACACACACACACACACACAGTGAAAACTTGTGTTGGGAATGTAAATCACATTGACTTGCTGTGAGATTCCCCACACATCTTGGTGCCTTTTGTTCTTGCTAAGTTAATAAGTACCAGCTGACTTCACTTTGGGGGTGCTCCTGTCATGCACAGTAGTTCTGCCTTCATGGGGGGGGTGCTGTGGGATATAAAGTGCTATTGTACTAATGAATGATGGCGGCAGGGGTTCTGGGCCCTGATCTGGGCTCTAGGCCAAAATGCCCACATTTTTGTTCATTCACTTTCAGAGCATGGGCTTGTCCCCAGCAACAGTGATGGCACTGCAGGGATGGACGTGGGTTATACAGAGCATGTGACATCCTGTGTTTTGTTGTAAAAAGTGGCCTCCCCGTCATAGGTCTGCCAAGAGAAAATTATCTTGGAACCTGGTGTGGAGTGGGAAGACCTCATGTTTTTCTCTTTCTCACTTCATGATAACCAGATGTTGAACTGAATGAAATCCCATAGACCTTTGGGTGGGAGTGGTGGGAGGGTGAATGGATGTAAATGGATATAAGGACAAGTTGTGGTGGCTGTTTAGAAGGGCAGGTGGAAGCAGAGAAAGTATCAAGCCATCATGGGAGACAAGAACAAGAAGGAAGTTTGTTTAATGGAAAAAGCAGGTGTCTTTAATCTCCAAGACTAAGGTGTCCTTAAAGCATCACTCTTAGCCAAGACATTGGAAAATTCGTGAAAGCTAGCTAATCATTACATAGGCTGGGTTTCGGTTTTTGTTTTCTGTTTTTTTGGGGGAGGGTTTTTGTAATTACTGATTCATTAATTTGTTCTTTCATTTACAAACTAATCCTCTCAAGAGACAGCCAAGCAGACCCAGCTCTAGGCTGACCAGACCCTCACAAATGAATGAGCCTAGTGCCTTTGGAAGACTCTGTTGGGCTTTGCCATGTGGCTGAGGTGTATATCCTGTAATACACGTCATACACGAGGAACTTTGAGAGTGGGCCGGAGATATGCACTGGTGATGGAATCTCCTTGGAAACCAGATTCTCTAGAACATGCACGACACTGAATACTTCGAAGGTGCTTCATTTGAAGCCACAGCTGTGTTCCTAAAAGGAATACTCCCCTGGGGACAGCCAAGCAGTGCCAGGGACCATCAAAAGCCTGGCCCAAGACAGTGAGTCAGAGTGCCACTGAGTCCCCAGCCCAGGTCTTGGAGCCATCGCATGGTTAGGGAGGCGCTGCCTATAACTGAGGTAGCAGCAGCAGAAGAGAGAGGCTGAACAGCCCTGGCATCCTTGTAGACTTTCTCTGTAAAGCATGCCCTTGGCCTAAGGCATGGGCCTCACAGGGGGCACCCCAGAACTATTCAGTCCTATTTGCATTTCAACAAGATAGCACCTTCAAGTCAGAGAAACAAAGTGTGCAGGTCTTTAGCTGGAGGGACATGGCAGCACCCCTATGTCTCCATTTTAAAGTTTGAAAATGATTGTCAGGGTTAGTTTTTGAAGTGTGGCTTGAGTGTCTGTGGAAAAAACAACCCAAATCTCTAAGGTCCAGGATCCCTTACTGGATTCCAGGATGATTTAAGGCCAACCCAAAATGGTGGATGATGGGTACATTTTACTCTTGTCATTAGAAGGCACCTATGCTCACCACTCTATCATTGATGCTGTACCTCTTGTCATCATTGGGACCTTTCATGTCTGAAGATATAATGATTGGTTGGTTTCAATTTATACACATCCTTGGGTAACTTCGAAGATGGCAGGGGAATCGGTGGCATGGTACAAAGGGCTCAAAGTCTCTGATCTCGGGGGTTAATTCCTGGAGCAATCCGAAGATTCAGTGCCAAGGTTGGATTGATGAGACAGATGAGGTGTGTCCTAGTTACTATTCTGTTGTTGCATAGAGACACCATGCCCAAGGCAGCTTATACAAGAAAGCATTTAACTGGGCTTGCTTACAGTTTCAGAGGGTTAGTCCGTGACCACCATGGTGGGGAGCAGGGTGGCAGGCAGGCAGGCATGGTGCTGGAGCAGTGGCTGAGTGCTCCATCCTGACCTGCAGGCAGGAAGCTGAGAACACACTGGAAACGGTGTGGGCTTTTGAAATCTCAAAGCCCACCCTAAGAGACACACTTCCTCCAACAAGGCCACACCTCCTAATCCTTCTTAAACAGCCTATCAGCTGGGAACTAAACATTCAAATATATGAGCCTAAAGGGGCCATTCTTATTCACACCACAGTGGTTGAAGCCCTCAAGGGATAAGTAGTTCTCCCTTGTACAACTAAAAGGACTGATCTTTGCTCCCAGGAGTTTCTCACCTGTGCTCTTAAGGAACACTGAAAGAACAGTCTGTCCAATGTCAAAGATGCTGTTCTGTGGGTGTGTGTGGTGGCCTGTGTGGTGGCAGGTTTTCCATGTGGGCTGCCTGCCAAGCATCTGGGTTTAGCAAGTGCTACTTAGCTTGATTTGGAGTGTCCCTCGCTTCTGCCCCCTTCCCTGCTGCCCTGTGGGGTCTGTTGTGAGATAAGGCACCCAGAAGTCCTTAGGGCAATGTAGTCCTCTGGGCTTTGGGGATTTCTGGCTGTTCCCTGTCTGGAACCTTAACATCATACAGTTGATAGCATTTGGTTTATAGCCTAGTTCAGCAGCTCTACACCATGGGTTCAGTGAACCAAGTACATGTTTGGATTATTTGCGGTTTTCATGATTTCTCTTTATCACCAACCCAGCAGTGTTTTCCAGCAAGAGCCCTCTGATAAGAGGAAAACAAGAAAATCAATACCTCATAGCCAGCTTAATACAACAGCTAAAGTGAAGTGTGATCCAGGGCCTTCAGCCACATTGAGTGTCACACCCATCACCATTCATTGCAGAGGCGTTCTGTCTGTGACATTTCACTGAGGCTTGTTTTGTGAAGGACTTTTCCAAGTTGCCATGCGAATGTTGGTACCAAGTAGGCAGAGATAGTGCTACTGGCATGCCTGACTTTGACCTGCTTCTGGGAGGTCATGCACCCATCTGGTGGTGTGTGAAGAAACGATTAGCTCCCAGAGTATAGAAGAGAATGGATGGAGAGAAGAGCTCAGGGGCATTGCTAGCATCTAGGCACCTCCCTGGTCTGCATGCAGCAGTCCCTCCCTGATCTGCATGCAGTGGTCCCTCCCTGATCTGCATGCAGTGGTCCCTACCTAGTCTGCATGCAGTGGTCCCTCCCTGATCTGCATGCAGCGGTCCCTCCCTGATCTGCATGCAGTGGTCCCTACCTAGTCTGCATGCAGTGGTCCCTCCCTGGTCTGCATGCAGCGGTCCCTCCCTGGTGTGCATGCAGCGGTCCCTCCCTGGTGTGCATGCAGCGGTCCCTCCCTGGTGTGCATGCAGCGGTCCCTCCCTGGTGTGCATGCAGCGGTCCCTCCCTGTCTGCATGCAGCGGTCCCTCCCTGGTCTGCATGCAGCAGTCACTCCCTGATCTGCATGCAGTGGGCAGGAAGGATACAGAAGGGGCTGGGAAGAAGGGCTTTAGTGTTTGCCCTGTGCCCAGAGGGTACAAACTATCCCAGTTCTGCTGCAGATGTTTTCTTGTTTCTTGTCCTACCATGTCCACAGCTGTTTCCATCCCAAATAAGCACACATATGCTATATTAGTTATCAAACTGTTGACTGGTGGCTTGGACTTCTTGCTGGCTAGCTCTGTCTTGATTAATAACCCATAACTACTAATCCATGTATTTCTACATGGCCTTGTCTTACAGGAGACCGCCTGGCACGTCCTATCCTTCCAGTCCCTCCCATGGTGACTCCTTCCAGCACCTCTCTGCCTACCTTTCCCAGAATTCTCCTTGTCTGCTAATCCTGCCTATCTTCCTACCTCTGCTGGCTATTGGACAAACAGTGTATTATCTATCAACCAATAAGAAAAACATATATACAGAAGGACATCCCCCATCACAGTTCAGATTGTGTTTTGGAAAGTGCCTATAGGACAAGGATTTTGGGGGTGGCGGTTCCTGAGGACCTCTCCAGTCTTAGGACAAACTCCTCAGGCCCTGGGTCTCTGTGGAGGACATCTCACCTCTTCCCCTGTACAGCCCTCCTGTAGCCTGTCCTTCCCATCCACACATGCCTCTGTTCACACATGCCTTCTGCGTCTGCCCGTGGGCTG